AATCACTTTTAATGGTATCACAAGGAATACAAATATCCCCTATAACTTCAATGGGCATTGTCATATATTCTTTATTGAGAAATTTGGGGTCTATCAGACTCTAGATATCTCCTCTGCCCTTACATTATCTCATCTCACCAAGATCGGTGATCAGATTCTTTCCCAATTTACAAATGGCGCTGTTTATATCCTGCGAAACTGAAGTGATGAAATGCTCGTAGCTTCTGATTTCTTAGACTATAGAGATGATTGGCACCACTCTGGTCTCCAATCAGCTCTATGGTCAGCTGGGAAGAAACACCGGCTGCATTCTCAGGTTCCCCTGATGGCATGGGACTGCCCGAGAAGGCCGTGGAAGGCAGCGGGGGAGGGGGGCATCATATCCCACTGCTTGTAAAAGCAATCCTGCAGCTAATTAGCCACTAGGATTGCTTTTACATGAAAGCCGATCGCCAGCGTAAAAGAAACAATACCAGGATGATGCCTGCAGCTGTAGTCACCATTCTGGTATAACCATTCAAAGTCCAGTTAAAACATCTCGTGTGTCCTTCCACTTCACTGTGAGCAATTCCTCATTTCTCAAGCAGGCTTTTTCCCCCTTTCTAAGATGGGTATTTATAAGTAGGTGGGGGAAGCCTCGGCGATTAGGTCACACGGTGCCACATGTGCCAATTCCAAGATTGTACAAATGTCTAAATAGTGGCACTCTTGAATAAAAATTGTCCACGTATAAGTGGTACCCCATATGGAAAAAGGAAGACACCAAGTCCTAAACTATCTTGCCACTACTCCCCATGTAGTCTGGGCATTCGGGGGGCTCAATCATTTCCCTCGTAAATCCAAAACTTATATGTATAGCCTGTTGCCCTCTCACAGGTCTTCTACATCTTGACCCCATATCTGGCATGCTTGTCTGGGATAAATTGTTTGAATGCAAGGCGGCCAGAAATATGAATGAGGGACTCATCAATGCAGATGTTTTGCTGGGGAGTATAGACATCTGCAAATTTTTGGTTAAGGTGATTTATGAGGGGCCGAATTTTGTGGAGTCACCCCGAGGACAACAGAGTGTGTTGTCTTTGAAATGCATAAAACAGATTATACTCTCATATCTATGCCTGGCCATGGCAGCAGAGAACATGGGCATATGATGAATCGGGTCTATGGACCAATACAACCACAATTTACTTTTCTTAGTAATGCCCTTGTTGAGGGTTAGGCCCCATAAACTTTAAATTTGGAAACTGTAATGAGTTTCCATGTGAATGGTCTGGCAAGGTTTGAATTTGGGTTGGAGGTGATAAATTGTTGTGCATATAAATTGCTTTGATCCACAATCAATGCATACAGATCTTCCATGAAAAACAGCTCCAAAAAAATCAAGAGGAGTAGTAAAATTTGCTGTTTCCACCTGATTTCTGGGTTTGGCAGTGAATGGGGGAATTACGGGTGCTGCAGAATTTGTGGGTTGGAAATGGGGATTTGCAAGCACATCCGGAAGGACACTAGGGGCTCTACGGGCCTGTCTGCAAATTCTTGGTGGTTGCGGGACAATACTTGTGCTCACCACCGCACCAGCTTGTACTGCACTTATGGGACTCGCCACGTCACCAATTGTTACTGCAGTGCTGGTATGTGAAAGACCAGGATGTACTAGGCTGCTGGTGCTCGCCAGTTCACCAAAAGGTAGAGGTGCACTAGTACTGGCACTCTGCTGCATATGAGAGTCATCATGCGATTGTAACATCAAAGCAACCTGGGAATGGGGTCAGGTACACTTGACCTTAGCAGGGACCTCTTCTCCATCGTCTGAGCGATCTGTCAGGGTGCTGTTGCAGGTTTGCATTCTGAGGCTGATTCTGTCAGTGAGTCTTCCCATTCTCTCTCTCACCTGACATTCTCAGAATCCTGTAGGCCTTTTCACTAGTGTACCTTTGGTTGTACATTTTGGCCACTAAATTTATAGGTACCTAATGCGACTCATGGGAAAACGAGCACCTTACTGTCAGGGACTGCTTGAACCGCTACAAAAAATTTACCGGCAAGTGCTAGCAGAGATCAGGACTGATTCTGCGAACACTGCGGTTTTGTTTGCAATGTATCAAGTGACAGTAACCTACTGACACTGCACTTGCTGGGGGAGGGGTGCAGAAGTGCAGGGGCGGCTAAACCCAGGTGCTGGCAGGTGTCGGGGCTGATCCCGCTAACGCTGCATTTTTAGGAACACTATACTAATGTGAACGCTGGTATAGTGGTGATCTGATCAAACATATTAATCCGTTCAGACACTATACTAGCAATGGAGGTTTATTGTGTATGAGCGTGTTGCTGGCAATCAAAGGGTTAAATGTGATAACTGGTGTACTGACGGGAAATCTGACGCTATCTGGGAGGGATGCTAACTGACGCTGACGCTAGCACTATCTGAATTTGCCGGAGACACTAATACAGTGATCAGCAAAAAATATGTACACTGTATTAATGACTCTGGTGACAGGGCAGTGAAGGGGTTAACGGGGGGGGGGGGGGGGGGGTGATCAAGAGGTTAAATGTGTCCTAGAGTGTTCTAATTGTGTAAGTGTAGCTCTTTTACTCACATTTTGCATTGATTCTTCTCTCTCTGGGATGGAATGTGCTCAGGCAGAGAAGATTTCATCACTTCCTGTCCTGTGTAACTGTCAACACAGAACAGGATAGGACAGGGATCGATCATCCAACTTGGACCGGACATCACTGGCCTAAATCGAATGATTGATCCCTCGGGAATCATATTGGGGCACCCACGGGTTGGTGGGGGCACACACGCACCCCCCCCCAGCCCGGGAAAACTGCAGGAGAGAGAATCACATATATATATATATATATATATATATATATATATAAAATGTGATTTTGCGCACAGGGGCCACCCTGCAGCAGTAAATGTACTGTGGGTGGGCCTTGAGCAGTTAAAGAGAAATTCCTGACAAGTAATGAAGATATTTAGTACCATATGCAGACAGGTGTGCTCTCTTTCTAGTCATTACTTCCATGTATTATCGTTTCTTGTTTTTCCAAAGAACTTTGTAACTTCTGGCAGTATAAAATGGTTCACGGAGGGATTTGTTCAAATTTGACCATTCATAATATTCCTGGCAATGGTCAGAAGTCATGAATAGCCAGGAATACCCATTAGTCATTTGTCTTCTTGGGTAGAGTTGACATTTACAACTCAGAATCTCTGCCCCAATGGTATCTCTCAATGTATTTAGTATGTACAATCAACCCCGCCCCTGAGGAGTCTTTTACCTGATACTCGGAGAGTTATTAGCACCAACTGTAGAATGACACACGTCAACAGCAATGACATGAGTAGCGCAGGTACCAGACAATCATAGCGGGATGCTCCTTGGGCCTCTTTCTTATTTCTTGATGATGTGAAGGTCACATGCTGAGAGATGAATGTTGTATGAGTATGGCTGGATGATGTTGGGACCACATTCTCATTCACAGAAGATTCCCAGACCTTGTGCTCAAATATTGGTGTTGTAGGGACCACATTCGGAGACCTGTATCCATGGACCACACCCTCACTATCACCTTCTGGGAATACACAAAGAACATGCAATCCATACATGAGAATGGTGTTTGTAGGAAATCTGATGGTCATACTATTAGGAGGAGGTAGAGTATCCAGCAGGTATTTAGTACTCATAGCCAGAAACTACAGGACAGAAATCCTTTCCTATATTATACTGTATATGCCAAAGAGGGAACACATTGTTTGCAAAGTTCAACTTTGTTTTTTTTTTTTTAGTTTTGGATGACGGGGTTGAGCAGTTTGACCAATTGTCCCATTTATATTGCTGTCCGTGTCCCCTATAGGGGAACTCCAGATTTCTTTTGTCACAGCTCTCAGCTTGCATTAGGTTTGCTGTCTCTGTAGATGCAAAATTCCTACCATCACCGATCTCCACACCTCATTTTCCTCGATGCCCGTGCTTTTCACACAGTGATATGTAGGTTGGGTGGAAAAATGTATTTCTAATGTTAGATTTGGTTAAGTTCTTTTGGGTTTGGTAATGATGTTTGGCTGTCAGGACCCAGATCTGAACCTGTTACCTCCGCTGTGTCTGCCAGTATCTCTTCTTGCTGGGCCTCCTGAGATGCTGGATAGCTCCCTCTCTGATTCTTTAGATGACCTTGAATTGTGTCTTGTTGTTTTTGAACCCTTTGCTCTGCCCATGAACTTCCTATTTAAGCCATGCCTTTGCACTTCCTATTTTCCAGATTATTGTGCTCTCTCCAGCCAATATCTCGCTCTTGTCACTCCTGCTCTGTCCATACCTTCACTGCGGCTCATTGCCGACCTTTCACTTCTTCCTCAACTACACTTTCACTTGATCTCAAAATGATGCCACCGGTTACTGACCTTTGCCTTGTTCCTTGACTACGTTTCTGCTTGATCCTGACCTGCAGCCACTTGCTACAGACCTTTGGCTTGTTTGCTGACTACACTAGATCTGCTGCTGGATCCCTGCTTGCTCACCTCCTGGTGGGGTAGTCCTGAGGACTTCAATCTGGTACTAATACACAGCAAAAGCCATCTCCACCATCAGGAGCTCTGGTGAATGCTGGTTAGTACTTACACCCTGCACCTCGAGTGAGCCCGTGCCATCCGCCAGGTTGCTGGTTGGTGGGGGCCTCTCTACTGCTATAGCTACTGGTCTCTGAACCTGACCCCTGACCCCTGACCCCTGATCATGACATTGGCTTTGATAAAATGTAAAGGATAAAGATAACGAATAGGTAAAAGCATTTAGGTTGGATAATCGCTTGCCGTCCATTCTATAACAGAAATACTGCTACAGAGTGGCAGGGATGCGCAAAATCATGTTTATATACATGATTTTGCAGTTCTGGGTAGGGGGCTCGCACAAGCCACAGGTGCGCCCTACCCGCACCGCCATTCGCGACCTCGGCTGTCAATCATTGGGTCCCAGCTGATGATTACTCGCTGGCACCCGGTGATCGCTGAGCATTACCAACGTGAGAGAGGTCTGTATGTAAACTATATAGTTCTCTCTCCTGTCAGCTCCAGCACACTGCTTTGTATGGCTCTGCATAGCACAGCCATACAAAGCTACAAAGCAGTGTGCCCACAGTGTAAAGCACACACACAGCACATAATGTGAAACAGCACACAGCTAACCCTTTGATTGCCCCTCATGTTAACCCCTTCCTGCCCAGTGCCATTAGTACAGTGTCAGTGCTTTTTATTAGCACAGATCACTGTATTGGTGTCACTGGGGGATGTCAGTGACATCAAGTCAGTTCCCCCCAATGTCAGAATGCTGCCGCAGTCCCACAGTCCAGATATAAGTCGCTGATTGCCGCCATTACTAGTAAAATAAATAAATCGCAGTATCTATCCCACCATTTGTAGACTCTAGAACTTTTACATAAACCAATTAATTTGCACGTATTTGGATTTTTTTTTAGCAAAGACACGGAGCAGAATACATTTTGGCCTAAATTTATGATGAAATTTTATTTTTTAAATATATTTACTGGACATGTTTAAAAGCAAAAAGTTAAAAAAAATTTTTTCTCAAAATTGTCTTTCTTGCAGTGCCATATCGCACAAAAATGGCCTGGTCAGCAGGGGGGGGGGGAATCCTCTGGAGCGTGAATAAGAATTTTAGAATTTAAGAAAACTGGTTTGGGGGAGATTGGCTTGGATGAGAGAATGGGAGGAGGTTTTAGTTGGGTGATTGGGTAATGAGGGTTTCTGAGCTGGGTGAGAATATTTGGGTTGTCTTAGAGTGTTGGGTGGGATGAGGATGTTGGTGTTACAATTGGGTATTTGAGTTGCAGGAAGGAGTTTGGTGTGTTGAGGGTTTTGAAATAAGTGACGGATGGGTTCATTTGGAAGATTTGGCTGGGTAGTGGACTTTTGGTTTCTGAGGGGGTAATAAGCGCGTCTGGGCTGGGTCTGTATGGCTGGATATTGGTGACTGGAACTGTTTAGGAGTGTTTAGGAAGGATGAGGATACTTTGGTTTGGAGAGGGAATTTGGATTAGTTGAGGGGTTTACAATGCAGGGGGTAACTGGGTTGGATGAAAAATTTTGCTTGGAAGCAGGCGTATGGTTAGGAGGGGCTTAGATTGGGTGAGAATATATGGATTGGATGAGGTTGCTTAGGTTGAATAAAGGGCTCAGAATAACTGAAGGGTGTTAGCGGGCTGATAGGGGTGTAGTTAGGTATGGGAAAGGGTGGAATGGAGGCCCTCAGAGCATCGATTGCATTGCACAGCAGAGGCAGATGAAACCAGTTCAGAGTGGGGATAAGTCAAAGTTTGTTGGTCTAATGAAGGTAATGGGGGGAATCTTGTGGGGTTTGCTTGTAAAGAGGACTTTTAAAACTTTAGTTTAAGGTAGGAGTCATGCACTGTTGATCCTTTATCCCAGAAAATTCTTTTAATTGTTTAAACTGCCTCAGGAATGTTCTTGTAATAACCAAATGTTATAGCCGGTCCTTGTCTTCAGTTGGTAATGTAGTCACCAACCAGATTTGGTGCCTCATTACTCCATAAATCACCTGATGACATTCCAGGAGATCTACTGGCTAAAAGTAACTGCCAGGAACCGGTTTGCAGACAAAGAATTGATCCCACAGACACATATTGAAGAGAATCTGCCTACATTGTGTAGACTGTATAGAGCTCCATCTCTGATTTATATATTACTTCTGTTATCAAATAATTGATTTAACTATCTTAGAAAAAAAGACAAAACAAAATCTGCACAATGTTCTCACTTCTCACAGGAAGAATAATGATGATATACTGTGACCAACACCCTCTCTTCCTTCCTATTCTCACCTTGAAATGTACATCTGAAACTTTCAGATCCCCATCTCGGCTCCTGGTTGTCATGCATACAATGTGTATCTGTTATGATAGGGGGGTTGTTAGCTCGAAGGTGGTGAGCATTTTTTAAACTGAGTTCATGTCAGTCAGAACTGTGTTTAAGTGTACGGAGGTCCGCTTTTATTGAAACAAAAATGTAACATAGCTAAATGTTCCTTCAACACTTCCACTATGCAGTCATCCTCCTCCGCTGGTACTGGGTTCTGGCCCGCATCGCACACTCAAACCCATTTTACAATGATAGATGTTTCTGGGGCTGTGGCCAGCATGGGGATGAGATCCACACCTGGCGGTCTTACAACGTTTAGTGGGCTTTGGGTTGAGGGTCTTCAATCGTCTGTCGACCCTCTTCCATATACAGTTGTGGCCAAAATTATTCAACCCCCAATGCTGTAAAGGGGTTTAGGGACTATAGTGTACATTTGGAATTGTATTCAGAATCAAATCCTACAAGGACGTTGTAACTACCCAAATGCAACTAAAATGACATCAATTGTTTATGTAATACAGTAGTAAATGGTTCTTATGTGGTTTCTTCATTGCCACAATTATTCAACCCCTTAAAGACTACCACTCTGAAGAACAGAGGTTCATACAGGTGCTTTCCATCAGGTATTGAAAACACCTGTGGATGTCACCGAGCAGCAATCAAGCATAATAAGCACCAATTAGGCAGCTTTAAAATGACTGTGATACTCAGCTCCTTCTAGACATTTACTGGTGTGGTTACAAACATGGTGAAGGCAAGAGAATGGTCCAGGAAGACAAGAGAAGAGGTGATTTCTCTTCACAGGAAGGGCAATGGCTATAAGAAGATTGCAAAGATGTTAAACATACCAAGAGACACCTTAGGAAGCATCATTCGCAAATTCAAGGCAAAGGGCACTGTTGAAACGCTACCTGGTCGTGGCAGAAAGAAGATGCTGACTTCGACTGCTGTGCGCTACCTGAAGCGTAGAGTGGAGAGAAGTCCCCGTGTGACTGCTGAGGAACTGAGAAAAGATTTGTCAGATGTGGGTACAGAAGTTTCAGCCCAGACAATAAGACGCACACTGCGTAATGAAGGCCTCCGTGCCAGAACTCCCAGGCGTACCCCCTTGCTGTCTCCAAAGAATAAGAAGAGTCGACTGCAGTATGCCAAAAGCCATGTGGACAAACCACAAAAGTTGTGGGATAGTGTTCTGTGTGGACTGATGAAACAAAATTAGAACTGTTTGGGCCCATGGATCAACGCTATGTTTGGAGGAGGAAGAACAAGGCCTATGATGAAAAGAACACCTTGCCTACTGTGAAGCATGGTGGAGGGTCAATCATGCTTTGGGGCTGTTTTGCTTCTGCAGGTACAGGGAAGCTTCAGCGTGTGCAAGGTACCATGAATTCTCTTCAGTACCAGGAGATATTGGATGGAAACGTGATGCAGTCCGTCACACACCTGAGGCTTGGGAGACGTTGGACCTTTCAGCAGGACAATGATCCCAAGCATACCTCCAAGTCCACTAGAGCATGGTTGCAGAGGAAAGGCTGGAACATTTTGGAGTGGCCATCGCAGTCACCAGACTTAAATCCGATTGAGAACCTCTGGTGGGACTTAAAGAAAGCAGTTGCAGTGCGCAAGCCTAAGAATGTGACTGAACTGGAGGCCTTTGCCCATGAAGAATGGGCGAAGATACCCGTAGATCGCTGCAAGACACTTGTGTCAAGCTATGCTTCACGTTTAAAAGCTGTTATAACTGTAAAAAGGATGCTGTACTAAGTACTAAGATTGAATGTCACTTGGGGGTTGAATAAAACTGATAATGCTGTGAGCACAGAAAAGACATTTGTGGTTATTTCATTATAACTGTTATGTTATATTTGTCTGACCTACAAGTGCCTCTTTAATGTAAATGTAAGCAAGATGACTGAATGATCAAAAGCAATGTCAAACTGGCCAAAACACTCAATTTCAGTGGGGGTTGAATAATTTTGGCCACAACTGTACCTTTCCACAAAGGTGCTAGACAGGCACTTCTTCATTGTCCAATCCTGGGACTCTTCTATCAGCAGATACCTATTTATAGTTATCAAGTGGGCAATAGCCTGGTCCTGGTAAAGACCCTCAGTCTGGTTTGCGGAGATATAGAGCATTCTGACCACCATAATGATTCATGAGAAAATGACTAGCATTCTTCAAGATCCCCACTTCAAGTTCCTTAAGGTATGGGACCCTAGTGGTCATATGCCCTTTCGACCCTGTACCTGGCTATTATGGGCGTCTCCGGCCAATGTGACGCTTGTTAGCCTGCAGGACTTTTATCTTTTCTTCTTACTTGCCTTGTTCTTCTTTCTTCCTCCTCACCGCACTACTCCCCGCAGAATTCTAATCTATTCTTCCCCCCTTTTCTTTTTTTCTCCTACCTCCACCCCAGCCCCTTCCCAGTTGGAGACTTCCCTATTTGATGAGGTTGGGGACCAATCCCTCTCCCCTCCCCCTCTCTTTTATTTCTGTATTTCTTTTAGTTTCTGACCTAGGTCCCTCAGGTCAGTCATTTGGGGCTAGCCCCTGCCCTGTTGGTCCAGGCAGTTGGTTTATAGTGCTGTACATTCAAAATGTAAACATTGATGTTGTAATATTGCTTCCATTATCTATTTCCCTTGAATGGAAACCAAATATTCCTTTTACTCATTGTGTAATATACACTTTTTATTTCAACAAAAACTATTGTACTAGAAACAAAAACACAACGCCCTCACAAAACAAGGTTTCCCACACAAGGGTTTTGGCTTCACTCAGAAACAGCATCAATAGAAAATGTGGCTCCACCTGGCTCTCCTGTAAGCTGCATCGCTGCTCTCTCTGGTATCCCAGATCATGGGCTCTTCAGGCTCACTCAGGCTATGCTTGCAGCATCTCTCTGCATGGACCAACTCTTGGCCTCTGGACAGGGTTCTCCTAGCACCTCAGGCTCTCCCACTTCTCAGGAATACAGGACTCCCTACAGCTCCCTCTGTGCACTCGCTAATCACCTCAGCTTTCTAGGTCTTGGTGGAGCTACATAGCTGTCCTGATTTTTCCAATCTTATGAGCAAGAAGTCTCCTCAACATAGGGTCTTGTCTCCAGAGAAAGTTACCCCTCCTGGCTGGAGCACACCACTATATTCACACAAAGATTCTCTCTCTAAATGGAAGCAACTGCTTTGATCTCCTCTCAGATCTCCCGTATAATGACCCCACTTACCTGTGCACTAACAGGCTACAGCTGTCTAGCAGAATCCGGACACAGGATTGAAAGTTTCAAACCCACCAAAGATGCTTTGGTACCTTCAAACTCCAGGATCCAATCCAGGACAGACAAGCTTAGAGAAAACTTAAAAAAAAAAACAGTTTTCTTTGCTCACAAAACACATGCTGGAGCTTCACAAACTGTTCTTTTGAGAATCTTGTGTCATTTTTCTAACCATTTCTCCATAATCTCCCATCATGGCCTTGCACTGTCACTGTTCAGAATGGAGTAATGTGAGCTGACTGTGTCTGCTGTTGATGTATTCTGGTGATGAATGACTATTAAGGTGTCACAATATGGACAGTTGATTATGTGAAATGGATTGTGATGGTGTAGGAGGTCCTGTTGCTGGTCTCATGTTTTAAAAGTCTTTAACAGTTACAGAAATTGAAGAAGAGGGATCAACTGAACTGAACAATATATTAATTAAAGATGGTCCATGATTTTGGCAACTATCCACAAGCATATTTAGGATAGCAAACAAGGCTTGTCCTGTATGGTGGCAAACCTCATCCAGATGTGAGGTTAGCTGTCCGCTTGCCAATGGTACCTGGATCATGCAGCTTCCAGAACCTTCTCCAATTATTGGGAGGTCACAGCAAAGTCACATGGTGTTTAGGGTCTGGCACCTCATGTCCTGTTGCAGAGGTGCTTCAGCCTCCATACACTACAATGCCAAGACCCACCAGAAGGATAGGTGCTGTGTGAGGCCTGACTGGGGACACGGCTGAATTCTTTATGGACAGAACATTTTACCCAATTAGTTCAAGGGATGGAAGTGATCTGGGGGCAGCCTGACATTGTATATGATACTCACAGAGGAGTGTTCTGATAATCTGCTCCATCTGTAGAATTCTGGTGATAGCTCAGTACAAGGAGTAAGGATGGCTCTATGTCCCATAATATCTTTCAGCAAACACATGGACCTTCTAGAAAGCTGACTTGTGGTTGGTTGCTCTGGGTTGCACCACCTCCTTGTCCCTTGTGATAGCAGCCAATGTATTACACAATATGTATAAAAAGTTCAATCTATTCCTAAATTTCACTTAAAAGAAAAGAAGCAACAGCTTAACAACTGCAAACAAAAAGAAAGTTGACATAAAAGTTGCCAACTTTGTATTCCCACATCCCTCCCTAGGTTACCTGCCGTCCGAGCGCTCCTCCAGGCAGACTCTGCATCCTCCTCCATGTTGTCTCTGCTCTCATATGATGTTCTGTGGGTCTCTCCACATGGAAGGGAAGAGGTAACGAGACCTGAGAGCTCCTCTGTGTCTGCAGATTGTGGTCAGGGGACAATAATAACAAGAGTGTTACATCTTTTAGAGACTAAAGAACGTGCAAACACTTTACCGGATGATTAAAAAAAAACAAAATAGAAAAAAAAGTGATTAGTGGGACATTTACTAAGCAGTGACATGCGCCAAGCAAAGCGGCAGGTCAGAAAGACCCAAATAATATGCTGTTGGAGCAAGAAATGTGGCCTGCATGTGGATATTCATCATTGGGATCTCCATTCCAAGCTGTATTGTATGAATGGATTACTCCTACTCTTGTGCTGAAGAATGAAAGTGGTGTGGCGCACTAACATTGCGATCTCAAGGTCTGGTCCTTAATGTATTTATTTTATTTATTACATGTACTTTTAGAGCATCAATTTACACAGCACTTTACACATGGTGTGTTTTCCAGATCAGTCCCTAACCCTCAAGGAGTGTAAAGTCTAAGGTCCCTAACTCAGACTCATTCATACAAATACTAGGGCCAATTTAGACAGGAGACAATCCACCTCCCAGCATGTCTTTGGAGTGTGGGAGGAAACCCATGCAGGCACGGGTATGTACTAGTCTACTAAATTGTGCATGGATGTTGGCATTAGAGCAGTTCACCCGATCCCCCTGATCCAAGTTTATAACAATCTGGGATGCTCAGAGCACCTCTCATGCAGGCCTACTGTGGCAGCAGCTAAGATGTAGACTATTCATCCTGGGGTGTAGATATAAGAGGATAAGGGGGTCCAAGCTCTTCACCAGAGAGTCACTGTGGCAGCAGCTAGGATGTAGACTATTCATCCTGGGGTGTAGATATAAGAGGGGATAAGGGGGTCCAAGCTCTTCACCAGAGAGTCACTGTGGCAGCAGCTAGGATGTAGACTATCCATCCTGGGGTGTAGATATAAGAGGGGATAAGGGGGTCCAAGCTCTTCACCAGAGAGTCACTGTGGCAGCAGCTAGGATGTAGACTATGCATCCTGGGGTGTAGATATAAGAGGATAAGGGGATCCAAGCTCTTTACCAGAGAGTCACTGTGGCAGCAGTTAGGATGTAGACTATTCATCCTGTCCTGGGGTGTAGATATAAGAGGGGATAAGGGGTCCAAGCTCTTCACCAGAGAGTCACTGTGGCAGCAGCTAGGATGTAGACTATTCATCCTAGGGTGTAGATATAAGAGGGGATAAGGGGTCCAAGCTCTTCACCAGAGAGTCACTGTGGCAGCAGCTAGGATGTAGACTATTCATCCTGGGGTGTAGATATAAGAGGATAAGGGGATCCAAGCTCTTTACCAGAGAGTCACTGTGGCAGCAGCTAGGATGTAGACTATTCATCCTGTCCTGGGGTGTAGATATAAGAGGGGATAAGGGGTCCAAGCTCTTCACCAGAGAGTCACTGTGGCAGCAGCTAGGATGTAGACTATTCATCCTGGGGTGTAGATATAAGAGGGGATATGTGGGTCCAAGCTCTTCACCAGAGAGTCACTGTGGCAGCAGCTAGGATGTAGACTATTCATCCTGGGGTGTAGATATAAGAGGGGATAAGGGGGTCCAAGCTCTTCACCAGAGAGTCACTGTGGCAGCAGCTAGGATGTAGACTATGCATCCTGGGGGTGTAGATATAAGAGGATAAGGGGATCCAAGCTCTTTACCAGAGAGTCACTGTGGCAGCAGCTAGGATGTAGACTATTCATCCTGTCCTGGGGTGTAGATATAAGAGGGGATAAGGGGTCCAAGCTCTTCACCAGAGAGTCACTGTGGCAGCAGCTAGGATGTAGACTATTCATCCTAGGGTGTAGATATAAGAGGGGATAAGGGGTCCAAGCTCTTCACCAGAGAGTCACTGTGGCAGCAGCTAGGATGTAGACTATTCATCCTGGGGTGTAGATATAAGAGGGGATAAGGGGTCCAAGCTCTTCACCAGAGAGTCACTGTGGCAGCAGCTAGGATGTAGACTATTCATCCTGGGGTGTAGATATAAGAGGATAAGGGGGTCCAAGCTCTTCACCAGAGAGTCACTGTCAGGCTCCCAGGTGTGACCAGAGGTGTGTGACTGACGCAGGGAAACGCAGACTTCAGATAAGTTATAAACAATTTATTAACACTAACAATACAAACATAAACGCAGTGCAATACTAAAACATAACACAGTGCAAACAAACCAAACCACCCACAGATAACAGTACATACAGTGCAAGCGTCGTCAGGCAGGCCGGGTCAATATCAATCGGGCAGGTAGGTACAGGGGGAGCAAGCGGAGAGTAGTCAGGTCACGAGCAGGGTACAGCAACTAACAGGCAGGTAGGTACAGGGGGTCAGGCAGAGAATGGTCGGGGTCACAAGCCAGGGATCAGAACAGGAGAAGTCAGCAGAGGTCAGAATCAAGCCGGGGTCAGCAACAAGACAGGAACAGGGACAGGGACAGGGACAGGATGCAGGAACAAGATACAGGGCCCAGGAAAAAACACACACCAAGGCAGAGTCTGCAGGTCTGGCCATCCCTTAAATACACCAGTATAATTAGTTCCAGGTGTTTAGCTGGCTGCAAAGTTGAGTCTCTGATTGCTGGGAGCACCCGCTGGCCAGCCCTGGTACTGCAGCTCATAAGGCAGGTGAGTCCCACCGTTGCTGGCCAGTCCATTCCTGACAGTACCCCCCCCTCAAGGAGCGGCCTCAGGACGCTCCAAACAGTCCTAGCTGGGCAAAATGTTCCACCGCCCGGGTCTGGTAACTGGCGGGATATCAAAGACTGGCACACCGGGCAGGACTCCGGGCAGCGGCACACCGGGCAGGACTCCGGGCAGCGGCACACCGGGCAGAGGCACATCGGGCAGAACTCCGGGCAGAGGCACATCGGGCAGAACTCCGGGCAGAGGCACATCGGGCAGGACTCCGGGCAGAGGCACATCGGGCAGGACTCCGGGCAGAGGCACATCGGGCAGGACTCCGGGCAGAGGCACATCGGGCAGGACTCCGGGCAGAGGCACATCGGGCAGGACTCCGGGCAGAGGCACATCGGGCTGGACTCCGGGCAGAGGCACATCGGGCAGGACTCCGGGCAGAGGCACATCGGGCAGGACTCCGGGCAGAGGCACATCGGGCAGGACTCCGGGCAGAGGCACATCGGGCTGGACTCCGGGCAGAGGCACATCGGATCACCAGGCGAAGCAGCAGGCAGCGGGCCACCAGGCGGAGCAGCAGGCCCCGGGCCCCCAGGCGGAGCAGCAGGCCCCGGGCCCCCAGGTGGAGCAGCAGGCCCCGGGCCCCCAGGCGGAGCGACAGGCCCCGGGCCCCCAGGCGGAGCGACAGGCCCCGGGCCCCCAGGCGGAGCGACAGGCATCGGGTCCCCAGGCAGAGCGACAGGCATCGGGCCCCCAGGCGGAGCGGCGGGCGCCGGGCCCCCAGGCGGAGTGACAGGTCTCGGGCCCCCAGGCGGAGCGGCGGGCGCCGGACCCCCAGGCGGAGCAACAGGTCTCGGGCCCCCAGGCGGAGCGACAGGTCTCGGGCCCCCAGGCGGAGCGGCGGGCGCCGGACCCCCAGGCGGAGCGACAGGTGTCGGGCCCCCAGGCGGAGCGGCGGGCGCCGGACCCCCAGGAGGAGCGACAGGTCTCGGGCCCCCAGGCGGAGCGGCGGGCACCGAGTCACCAGGCACGACAGTGGGCTCCGAGTCAACTGGCATGACCGCTGGCACTGGGTCAGACATTGGATCGTCTGGCTGGACAGTGGGCATCGGGTCACCAGGTATGACAGCGGACACTGGGTCACCAGGCATCAGGTCATGTGGCTCGCCAGTGGGCACCGCGTCATCTGGCACCGTGTCACCAGGCACGACAGTGGGCTCCGAGTCAACTGGCGGAACAGCGGGCTTCGAGTTGTCTGGCAAGACTGCGGGCACCGAGTCGTCTGGCAAGACTGCGGGCACCGAGTCAACTGGTGGAACAGCGGGCACCGAGTCGTCTGGCAAGACTGCGGGCACCGAGTCGTCTGGCAAGACTGCGGGCACCGAGTCGTCTGGCAAGACTGCGGGCACCGAGTCGTCTGGCAAGACTGCGGGCACCGAGTCATCTGGCAAGACTGCGGGCACCGAGTCATCTGGCAGAACAGCGGGCATCGAGTCAACTGGCGGAACAGCGGGCACCGAGTCGTCTGGCAAGACTGCGGGCACCGAGTCACCAGGTACGACAGCGGGCTCTGAGTCAATTGGCACGACAGCGGGCACCGGATCAGGTACCAGATCATCTGGATCAACAGCGGGCATCGAGTCAACTGGCCTAATAGGATCATCAGGCTGGATCAGTTCATTGTGCTGGGTAGAGGCATCCGGCTGAGTAGAGGCTTCAGGCTGAGTAGAGGCACCAGGCTGAACCACTGAAGGCAGGTTCTCAGACGGCAGGCTCACTGGTTTGGATACTGGCAGGATGGTATTGGTTGGAAAGAATTTTCGCTTTTTTCTGGTTTTAACTACTGGAGCACTGCAAGTAAACGCAGGTCTGCAAACGAATGGAGCAGCTGGAGACAGAGAAGAACTGGAGGATGGAACAGGAGAGGGAGCAGTTGCTACAGAGGGCTTCTTTACAGGGTTAAAGGCAGGATAGGTGCAGCGAGTGGGAACAGGGTACTGACATGCGGTAGATAGGAGGGCAGGAGGAGTTGTTGGGAATGCAGGAGTAGAGCTTTGAGGAAATAGATTAGAAGCAGGACTGGGTCTTTGTAAGCTGACTGAGGCTGGGTGCAACAAGTCTGTCCATCTGCAGTATGGGTTGAACAAAGCTGACCTTACACAAAGCCTGTCTGGTCAATGACTGCACTGCGTTTATACAATCTCTTAGTGTCTGTGGTGAACATGTGGAATAAACGCTCCAGAAAGTAACCCACATCATCCTCTAATAACCACACCAGGGACTCTACCTGGTCTGCACTAAATGGTGGCAAAAAGTCATCCCTGCATTCGGGGGAACCAGATGAAACCAACTCTACACAAACCTGAATCAAAGGTTGCACCTCAGAGAACTCTGTGCCCTGATCTACTAGAACATGAGCGAGCCGTATACATTCTAGCAGTTCATCCCGGGGATACTCCCTCAGAGCCTGAGAAGCATATTCTCTGTCATCAAAAACCAGCAGCGACAAATATGCAACCTCATCAAGATCCATTTTTCCCAGCAACAAGCCAAGATGGCTTCCCTGTGCAGCCACTTCTGGTCAGGATTGGCCTTGGTGTAATGTCAGGGCTCCCGGGTATGACCAGAGGTGTGTGACTGACGCAGGGAAACGCAGACTTCAGATAAGTTATAAACAATTTATTAACACTAACAATACAAACATAAACGCAGTGCAATACTAAAACATAACACAGTGCAAACAAACCAAACCAACCACCCACAGATGACAGTACATACAATGCAAGCGTCGTCAGGCAGGCCGGGTCAATATCAATCGGGCAGGTAGGTACAGGGGGAGCAAGCGGAGAGTAGTCAGGTCACGAGCAGGGTACAGCAACTAACAGGCAGGTAGGTACAGGGGGTCAGGCAGAGAATGGTCAGGGTCACAAGCCAGGGATCAGAACAGGAGAAGTCAGCAGAGGTCAGAATCAAGCCGGGTCAGCAACAAGACAGGGACAGGAACAGGATGCAGGAACAAGATACAGGGCCCAGGAAAAACACACACCAAGGCAGAGTCTGCAGGTCTGGCCATCCCTTAAATACACCAGTATAATCAGTTTCAGGTGTTTTGGCTGGCTGCAAGGTTGAGTCTCTGATTGCTGGGAGCACCCGCTGGCCAGCCCTGGTACTGCAGCTCATAAGGCAGGTGAGTCCCACCATTGCTGGCCAGTCCATTCCTGACAGTCACTGTGGCAGCAGCTAGGATGTAGACTATTCATCCTGGGGTGTAGATATAAATGGGGATAATGGGGTCCAAGCTCTTCACCAGAGAGTCACTGTGGCAGCAGCTAGGATGTAGACTATTCATCCTGGGGTGTAGATATAAATGGGGATAATGGGGTCCAAGCTCTTCACCAGAGAGTCACTGTGGCAGCAGCTAGGATGTAGACTATTCATCCTGGGGTGTAGATATAAGAGGGGATAAGGATAAGGGGTCCAAGCTCTTCACCAGAGAGTCACTGTGGCAGCAGCTAGGATGTAGACCATTCATCCTGTCCTGGGGTGTAGCTATCAGGGGGTCCAATATCCTCCCCAGAGTGTGAGTGTTTGTGTGTGCGTGTGTAGGGGGGGGGGGTTATAAGTGTGTATTATGGGAGAGTGGAAAGGTGTACACTGGATGGGACCCCCAGGAAAAAAAATATCTACACATCTGTGATGATTGTTGAGTTTATCATTCAGCTCCGCCATGTTTGGTGATAAAGATTTGGAATGATGGAAATCCACTGATGGGATTACATTGATTGCAGCCGGTGGACCATCTTCTGGGTGTGAAGGGTTGGATGGAAGTGGAAGTGGAGACAGCAGTGTGGGTGTGTGTGTGTGTGTGTGTGTGTGTGTGGGGGGGCCGTATTATATCAGTCAGGGACACTGTCTTTACTGAACCCAGGCCCCAGGCAAAGAGGTGAACTGGGGGCCCCATCACCTTTATAGAATAAGATCCTGGGGCCATTTACATTGGGTCAGGTGGATCACTTCATTCCTATGTTGGCACTTTTCCTGCCGATCTGTATTTCACTGATTTATAATGGTTTCCATGGTTTTAACATTGTAATTCTGTTTGTCTAATTTATGAAACTTGGTGAAGTTTTCCTTCCCATTCATAGTGACATAAAGGAGAACTCCAATCAGGGAGAAGTGAAGCAGGTAAGAAGAGTGTTGCCCTTTCCAGGATACGTTATCAATGAAGAGAGGGGGAGGGGAATAGCATAATTACACTATCCATTACCATTCTCTATGCTCCTCCCACTTCTGGTCTCCAGGGTCCGGTGACATATATTGGGGACTTATCGCGAGTTCACCTCTGCACCCTTTTCAAACCTTTCCAACAAGAACTTCTAAATTAAAACTAGATATTATATAGAAAAGAAAAAACAATAATAAAGGCTCTGTAGGTAGAAGTACAGTTGTGTTCAAAATAATAGCAGTGTGTTGAAAAAAGTGACTAAAACTGAAAATCCTTCTAATAGCTTTTATTTCCATCCACACAAATGCATTGGGAACACGACACATTCTATTCCAAATCAAAACATGAAGAAAAATACATCAAATTTGTGTTGTTCCTCTAAAAAAATGGAAGAAAAGTGAATATTAGACGGTTCAAAAAATCGCCGTGTTTGTATTCTTCTTTACAAACTCCAACATTCACTATATAAACTGAGAAATGTTTGAAGATTTTGCTTTCCTTTGAATGACTTCATGAATATTTGGTTGTAGTCGCACTGTTTTCTGAGAACTGCTGTACATCTGTGTTGCATGGAGTCCCCCAACTTCTGGCCCCTGTGATCAGGTATTCCAGCCCAGGATGATTGGACCACATTCCACAGTTCTTCTCTATTTCTTGGTTTTGCCTCAGAAACGGCATTTTTGATGTCACCCACACAAGTTTTCTATTGGATAAAGATCCGGGGATTGGGCTGGCCACTCCATAACGTCCATCTTGTTGGTCTGGAACCAAGATGTTGCACGTTTACTGGTGTGTTTGGGGTCGTTGTCTTGTTGGAACACCCATTTCAAGGGCATTTCCTCTTCAGCATAAGGCAGCATGACCTCTTCAAGTATTCTGATGGATTCAAACTGATCCATGATCCCTGGTATGCGATAAATAGGCCCAACACCGTAGTATGTGAGAAACATCCCCATATCATGATGCTTGCACCACCATGCTTCACTGTCTTCACAGTGTACTGTGGCTTGAATTCAGTGTTTGGGGGTCGTCTGACAAACTGTCTCCGCCCACTAGACCCAAAAAGAACAATCTTACTTCCATCAGCCCACAAAATGTTGCACCATTTCTCTTTAGGCCGGTCAATGTGCTCTTTGGCAGATTGTAACCTCTTCAGCACACGTCTTTTTTCCCAACAGTGGGACTTTGCGGGGACTTCTTGCAGATAGCTTGGCTTCACATCGGCGTCTTCTAATTGTAACAGTCCTCACAGGGAACGTCACACCTTCTTTCATCTTCCTGGAGCTGATTGTTGGCTGAGTCCGCCCCATGTTGGCTATTCTTCTATCCATTCCAATGGTAGTTTTTCGCTTTCTTCCGCGTCTTTCAGGTTTTGGTTGCCATTTTAAAGCATTTGCCATCATTTTAGCTGAGCAGCCAATCACTTTCTGCACTTCTTTATATGTTTTCCCCTCCAATCCACTTTTTAATCAAGGTACGCTGTTCTTCTGAACAATGTCTGGAACGACCCATTTTCCTCAGAATTTCAGAGAGAAATGCACTGTAACCAGCATGTCCAACATTTGCTGCCTTCCTTCCTTAAATAAGGGCAATAATTGCCACCTGTTTATCAAAGAATGAATGACCTCACTAATAGAACTCCACACGGCTATTATTGTGAACACGCCCCTTTCAATGAGTGATTCAATGACACAGAATCAGCAGCATGCATGTCATGACTGTTGGGTCTGTTGGATTTCTATGACTCTACTACACCTGCTAGGAAATTATTTGCCGCGTAGAAATATCATTTCTACCAAAAACAGTGATTGATCCGGTTAGTGATGTCTGACTGCTAGTATTTTCAACACAACTGTATATGGGAGCCTTTATATAAACACTA